CACGTTGTTCTGCAGTTCATTGTCCAGGAAGGGGCAGAACCATTCCTGGGAATGCATTCCCCTCTCCCTGCTTCTGGGTTTGGGGGCTTGGGAATGGGGCATCCACACCATTGTGAATCCCCAAATCTTCACATTTTTGAGTTCCTTATTGTGCAAGAAGTCCCCCTGTTCCCAGTAATGTATCCCCTCTACCTGTCCTCGTTCTTGGATGTGGGAAATCGGGAAGAGGGCTTCTGCATTTGGGGGGTTGGGAATGGGATGCCCAGACAGTCATGAGCCCCCAAATCCTTGCCCACGTTATTGAGCATTTCCATCATCTGGGAGGAGACAGAACTGATCCTGGTAACATACCTGCTGTCCTTCCTGGAGCTGAGGGATTGGGATTTGGGGGGTTGGGATTTGGGGGTTGAGAGCGGGTCACTTTGCCAATTATGAACCCCCAAACCCTTGCCCGTGTTATTGAGCACTTCAGCATCCAGGAAGGGGTAGAGTCATTCCTGGTAACATTCCTGTGCTTATCCCTGCTCCCGTGTTTGAGGGGTCGGGAATGGGTCACTCAGGGAATAGCTGGACCCCAAACCCCCCCCTTGTCACGTCACCCAGGAGGCGCAGGGCTGTACCTGGTGACGCATCCCCCTCTCCTCACCCTCATCCTGCCCGGGGGGTGGGATGGGCCCTGCCAGCCCCGTGCCCACGGGGAGGACTGCCCGGGGCACAGGTGCAGCCAGGTGTGTTGCACAGGTGGGCCGCTCCTCGCTGCTGGTGGGGGCCCTGCACAAGCAGTATGCGCAGGAGCTGCTGCCGGACAAGCTCCCAGCGCAGGACAACACCACCACCACCGACTCGGACATGGAGGAGCCGTACCTGCAAGGTAGCGCCCGGGCCCCCAGCCCGCCCGGCCCCTGGGAGCCCCCGGGATTTCCCCCGGAGCGCCCCGGCTGAGCTGGCTGGTTTCTCTCTCTGGGTGTCCCTCCACGCCCCCCAGAATCCAAAGAGGAGGGGAACCCCCCCAAGTTGAAGTGTGAGCTCTGCGGCCGCGTTGACTTCGCCTACAAGTTCAAGCGCTCCAAGCGCTTCTGCTCCATGGCCTGTGCCAAGAGGTAACCCCAAAACCCACCATCCCCTCCTTGGTGGGGTAGAGGTAACCCCAGAATCCACCCAACCCCTCCTTGGTGGGTAGAGGTCCCCCCAAAACCGACCCATCCCCTCCTTAGTGGGGTAGAGGTAACCCCAAAATCCACCCAGCCCCTTCCTCAGCCAGATACAGGTAGCCCCCAAAATCTACCCAAGCAGGGTAGAGGCAACCCCAAACCCCCCTGACAGAGCAGACATAACCCCAAAACCAATCTGGACCCTCTTCAGTGGAGTAGAGGTACCCCAAAATCCACTTGACAAGAGCAGAGGTAGCCCCAGAAATCCACCTGCCAGGGAAAAGGTGACCTGAAAACCCATTCAGCGTGGGAGGAGTAACCCCAAAAAGTCCACCCAGTGGTGGAAAGGTAACCCTAAAATCTACTTGCTATGGTGGGGGTAACCCCAAAATCCGCCCTTCCCCTCTTCTTCAGCGGGGTCGAGGTATCCCCAAAGTTCCCCTGGTGGAGTGGGGACCCCTTCCTGAGCCTGGCTCCGTGCAGGTACAATGTGGGCTGCACGAAGAGGGTGGGGCTGTTCCACCCAGATCGCAGCAAACTCCAGAAGCCTGGAGGGCCCCCCCACGGGCGGCGCCGCAGCTGCAAAGGGACCCTGCCCCCCCTGAGCAAGGACAGCAAGAAACAGGTGAGGGGGACGTGGGGTGAGAACTGCGGCCAGGGTTTGTCCCCTGGGTTTGGCCTTGGGGCTGGAATTTGTTCCCAGTTTTGGGAATGTGGGGTGGGCTCCAAGCCTTGGGTTTGTCCCTGACTTTTGGGGCACAGGGTGGGCGCTGAGTGCAGGATTTACTGCCAGTTATGGGGATGTGGGGTGGGCACTGAGGCTGGGCTTTGGCCTCAGCTGGGGGGACGTGGGGTGGGTGCTGAGCCTGGGGTTTGTCGCTGCGTTCTGGGAACACGGGGTGCACGTGAGGCTGGGGTTTGTCCCTGAATTTTGGGGACGTGGGGCAGGTGCTGAGGCCAGCACTGCCCCCGCAGCCCCCGGGATCCGTCCCAGCGGGGTCGGTGACGGCGTCGTTGCAGCTCAACCACAGCCAGGAGGATTCCAGCCGCTGCTCTGACAACTCCAGCTACGAGGAGCCGCTGTCGCCCATCTCCGCCAGCTCCTCCACGTCCCGGCGCCGGCAGGGGGAGCGGGAGCTGGAGCTGCGGGACATGGAGCTGCCGGACGTGCACGGCCGCGACCTGCCCGGCCTCGGCCACCGCTTCCTGCCCAGCGAGCCCAGCAAGTGGAACGTGGAGGACGTCTACGAGTTCATCCGCTCGCTGCCGGGTGAGGAATGTCCTGGGATGGACAGGGATCTACCCATAGATACCCAGCACTGTGGTTTTGGGAAGGTTTATGTCCCTCAAGATGTGGTCAAGGAGGGATCTACTCAAGGATAACCCCAAAATTGTGATTTTGGGGAGAGATTTATTCACGGAGAACCCCATAGATCTATTTTTGGGTAGGATTTATACATAGATAATCCGATAAATATATTTTTGGGGGATAATTTACTCACAGATAACCCCATAAATATTTTGGGGGGGATAAATTCTACTCACAAACCCATTAATATTTGGGGCGGGGGCAGGGGGACTTACAAATAAACCTACAGGATAATTGGAGGAGGAGGAGATTTACATATGATAATTCCCTAAATAGATTTTTCGGGGGATTTAAGCACAGAGAAGCCCCTAAGTGTATTTTTGGGGGCTCTGAGAGGCTTTGCTGATGCTGCCCCTCCCCACAGGCTGCCAGGAGATCGCGGAGGAGTTCCGGGCTCAGGAGATCGATGGGCAGGCGCTGCTGCTGCTCAAGGAGGATCATCTCATGAGCACCATGAACATCAAGCTGGGCCCTGCGCTCAAGATCTATGCCCGCATCAACATGCTCAAGGACTCCTGAGGGGGGGGCCACGGGACCCCACTCCCCCCCGTGGGACCCCTGACCCTCCCGGGAGCCCCGCAGGACCCCTGACCCCCCACGCGGCCCCGGGGAGGGGGCGAGGGGGGGAGACACTTGTGAGCACACCCCGCCCCCCCTGCCCCCCCGGGGGGTGTAAATAGCCCCTAGCTTTAGAGCCCCCCCCCAGTTTTGGGGGGTCACCCCCCCTTCTCCAGCAGGGAGGGGGGTCCCCACGTGTTGCCCCGTGTCCCCCCCAGGTCAGCAGAGCCAAGCAGGACGGTTGCCTTAACGTGTGCTCCCTCCCCCAGCTGGGATTGGGGCCCCAGGGAGGCTTGGACTGCCCCCCCCAGGGGGTCAGGGAGAGGTGGGGGGCGCGGAGGAGGCGTCACCCCCATTCACACACACCCCCACACACTGGGCTGTTTTTGGGGGCACCTTAGCAGAGGACAGTGGTGGGGGTCCCCCCCAGGCAGGTAAGGACCCCCCCACTCCCCCCTCAGCCAGCACGATCTTTTTAAGAAAAGAAAAGGAAAAAAAAAATTGAAAAAAACACATGGTCCCACCCCCCCTTTTCCTGTTTTTTGTTTTTGTTTTTAATAAACACTGAAAAAAAAAAAAAACAAACTTTGGACCCTCCCAGTTTTCTTCACTTCCCACCTCCACATTTCTTCTCATGTAAACTAAGGCAGCAACTCAGGGATGTCCCCAAGTGCCACCATGGGTGGTGGGACTTCCTGCGGGCAGTGGGGACAGGGTTGGGGTTGTGTGACCTGGGGATCCCTGCTGCCCCCCAGGTTGGGAGCTGGGGTGATGTTCCCCTCCCAGGAGCCTGTGGTGACAGTGGCACCTCCAGGTGACCCCCAAGTCACAGTGCTTAGGGGGACACAGGGTCCTGAAGTCGGTGAGGTGGGGAGGGGCACAGGAGGGGAGGTGGTGACACGTTCCTGGAGATGGTCCCGGGGCGGTGACACATCCCTGGAGCTGATGGGCCTGGAGAGGGGTCCCTGGATGGAACATCTGGATTGAGGTGTGCCCAGAGCTGGTGGCTGTGGTAGTGACACAGCCATGCTGCAGTGTCCCCAGGCACTGATGCTGGCAGCAGTGTGTTCCAAAAGCTGGTAAGCACAATGGTGAGGTGTCCCCAAAGCTGGTGGTCACGGTGGTGACTTATCCTTGGAGCTGGTACCCACTGTGACATGTCCCTGAGGCTGGTGGCTACGGTGTAGTGACCCCAGAGCTGTGGCCACGATGAGGTGTCCCTGGAGCTGGTGACAGATTCCTGGAGGGTGCCCAGGTGGCCACACTGAGGTCTCTGCAGAACTCGTGGCCATGGTGAGGCATCCCAGGCCACAGTGAAATGTCCCCAGCAGTGGTGGCCAGAGTGGGCTGTCCCCAGAGCTGGTGTCCCCAGCAGTGGGTCACCCACACCCCCCACAGACCAGGAGCACTGTGCCACCCCTCTCCCTGGGGACACTCTGGGGACAATGCACCTGCTGCGGATGACCCACAGCTTCATCCTCGCCTCCTGCAGCCCCACAGGGACCAGGCCCCCCTGTGTCCCCAGATGTCCCCACAGGGGAGTCCCCTCCCCCCATCCTTCCCCTCCCCCTCAAACACAACCCCCCAGTTTCATTAATTCCTGTTCTGGTCTTTTTTTTGTTCTCTTTTATTCTCTTTTTTTGGAAAGGGGCTGGGCTGGGGGGGGTTTCATTCCTTTTCCACACTGTGAGGCCGTGGCCCGCCCAGCTTCTCCAGGAACCACAATGCAGGAGGGGGTGGCGACAACAGGGAGAGGGGCAACTTTTTGTCCATTTTCTCCACTTTTTTCTTTTTTTTTTTTTTTTTTTCCCTTTTTTAATAAGGTACCAACTAGCTCTAGGGAGGCCTGGCCTGGCTGGGCAGCGAGGAAAATAAAAAAGCCCCAAATTTTGGGGGAAGGGGAGAAAAAAGGGGGGGCTAAGTGTATAAGAGGCATATTTACACAGTATTAACATGCTGACAAAAAAGGTTACAATATTGATATCGTACAACATTGAGGGGAGAAATAATGGGGGGGTAAAAAATAAGGGGACAGGGGGTAAAAATAATAGGGAGGGTAAAAAATAACAGAGGGGTTAAAAATTAATAAAAGGTAAATAAAACACCCTGAAAAAAAAACAACAAAAAACCCCAAAGAAACGCTGAGTTAAGGCTTAAAAAGTGTATAAAAAATAACACAGTTAATATCCAAAATGAACCAAAAAGTACAGAATATAGATGAGTTTGGGGGGAGTGCCCCCCGGCTCTATACAGGGGGTATGTACAGGCAGGCACAAGGCAAAGCAGGGGGACCCCCGAACCCCCCAAAACTGGGGCTGCGGAATGGGGGGGCCATCACCGGGGGGACGCAGCTCTGCCCGCAGCTTCGCCCTCGAAAGGGACCCCAAAAGAACACAAAAAACCCCCAAAATGGTTAAAAATCAACCCCAAATGGAGGCGCTTGGGCCCAGAGTCTGTGTGGGGGGGGTGGTGGGACTTTGCCCCCCCCCAGCTGCTTTTTGCTCCATCCACGGTTCGTTTTTGGGGTGAATTTCTGGTCTTTAGCAGCACCAAGTTCTTGGCCAATAAATATATATATATATATTTGTATCCAAAAATGGGGGGCGGGGCCTGGCAGGGGGGACACCCCCAACCCCACTGCCCCCCCGAAGAAACCAAACCGCAGAGATTCAAAGTGCTCTGAAACCGTCTTTGGATGTCACCAAACCTGCGGGAGCCGGGCAGGAGCACAGCCCGGGCGTGGCCCGCGGCGCTGGGGGTCTCGTCCTCCTCCTCTTCCTCCTCCTCCTCCTCCTCCTTTTCCTCCTTCTCCTCTTCCTCCTCCTCATGCTGGGGGGGTCCTGTCCCCTCCCTGCTTAGATGAGGGAGATCCGTACGGGAATGCCGGGTGACTCCGTCCGCTGCGGCGAGTGCTGGCTGACCAGGTGCTCCACCACCGTGTGTTTGGACATGTGCTTCATCAGATAGGTCTCCTGTGGGGGGCACAGGGGTGAGCGGGGGGCTGGGGGCTGCGGGCAGGTTTTGGGGCATCCCCCATGCTCACCGAGGTGTAGGCACGGCCGCACATGCTGCAGCAATAGGCCTTGGCGTGCTTGATGGCGTGTGCAGACAGGTGGATCTGCAGCGAGGCCGAGTCCGTGTACGCCCGGTAGCAGTTGGGGCACTTGTAGGGCTTGTCCTTGTTGTGCTGGCGCTGGTGGGACTGAGGGGACAGAGGGAGTCAGGGGGGACCATGGTGACCCCGTGCCCCCTGCCCCGGGTCCCCCCACACTGACCTGGAGGTTGGAGAGCTGGGTGAAGGCCTTCTCGCAGCCGGGGTGCGGGCACTTGTAGGGTCTGTCGCCGGTGTGGATTCTGGGGACACACACATTGTCATTGTCACCTCCCCTTCCACCACCAGGGACAGCGCCAATCCCATCCATGGGGTCACACTGGAGTGGGGGGTTACAGTGGGCACAGCGACATCTCTGCCCCAGGAGGTGACAGGGGAGAAGGGGGCGAGACATGGGGCTGAGAGACGGGGATTGGGAGAGGATGGAAGTGCTGGAAACTGATGAGTGTGGAGGAGATGGACGGGCATGCATGCACAGATGACATGGTGGGTTCAACTGAAGGTGGTGGGCATGGTGGGGATGAACAAAGTGGTGGGAAAAAGCACAATGGAGATGGCTGAGCATGGTTGGGGCAATAAAGGTAATGAAGATGATGAACATGGTGGCGATGGTGAACGTGGCTGGAAAGAAGGCAGTGGAGACCACGGAGGTACCAGAGACTATGAAGGTGGTGGAGATGTTGAGCACAGTGGGGATAATGAAGGCTGTGGAGTCATACTGGCATGGTGGGGATGATGAAGGTAGTGGAGATGATAAGCACGGAGGAGCCCATGGAAGTGCTGAAAATGATGAGTATGGTGGGGATGATAAAGGCAATGGGGACAGCCAGTGTGGGGGGAATCGATGAGCACAGTGGGAGTGATGAGTGTGGCAGAGACAATGAAGGTGCTGGAGATGATGGGGGATGAAGAAGAAGGAGATGATGGCAGTAGGACCAACAAGCAGAGCAAGGCCATAAAGGACGTCAGGAAAGATTGGTGGGTGTGGGGTGCCCCTCCCTGGCCAGCAGGAACAAGTGTCCCCAGCCCCGCGGCGGGGCCCTCACCGGGTGTGCTGCTGGAGGTGGGAGAGCTGGCGGAAGGACTTCTCACAGTAGGAGCAGTGGTAGGGTTTGACGCCCAGGTGGATGCGCAGGTGCTGGGCCAGGTAGGAGGCATTGGCGAAGGACTTGGAGCAGTGGGGGCACTTGTGGGGCTTGGCCTCTGTGTGCGACTTGGAGTGGATCTGCATCTCCGACTTGGTGAAGAACGTCAAGGGGCAGACCTTACACCTGGAGGGTGTGGGGGAGAACCCCGCAGGGACCGGGCTGGGGTGGGGGGGCTCCCCGCCATCGCCCCCGGCCCCCACAGCGGGCGGGGGTGTGCCTACCTGTACGTCTTCCCCTCTTTGGCCGTCTCCCCTGAGGCCAGGATGGGGTAGGGCACCACCAGCACCGGCGGTCCCGAAGGGTTTTCCGCCTTGATCTTCTTCCGGCCCCGCTCAGCCTTGGGCGCTCCCAGCAAGCCGTGGCCCTGGATTGTCTTGATGGAGTCGAGGAGGGGGGGGCTGGTGATTCCTGAGATTAGGGTGGGCGAGGAAGCGATGAGGCGGCTCTGACTGGTGGAGGTGGGGGTCGAGGGGGTGGTGGTCCCTGTTCCTGGGCTGGATTCCGAGGTGCTGACGGCCGGTGCACGGGATGCCAGCCCCAACCCTAATGGCCAAAGTGACAGAGTGTTAGTTTTGAGGGGACCCACACCCCTCTCTGTCCCCCAGAGTGGTGGGACCAGCGGCAGTACCTGTGACGGTGCTGGTGGCCGGCCGGGCGTGCAGGGCCACGTCAGGCTGGGGCACGGCCTGGGGGTGCAGCCCTGGCACCTGCTGCAGCTTTGGCAGGGACATGATGGACTGGCTGCTCTCAGCAGGCGAGGGGGGCACCAGAAGGGGCTGCTGCGAGGCCACCGAGGTGGGAGGCAGGTGCGGGGGGCGGATCTTCTCCGCCATCAACTGCTCCTTGATTTTGTTGATCAGGACCAGGTTGTCCAGCTGGGGGAAAAAGGCAGACAGGTGGGTGAGGGCAGAGGAACTGGGATCCTTGGAACTCCCAGCCTCCCCCTCAATGCTCTCCACACCCATTCATCCTCCCTCCTCCCAGAATCCCAGTGCAGGGGTCCTACCTGGCTGGGCATGGTGGGGGGGGGCGGCCAGAAGTAGGGGTTGTTGAAGCGAGGCTCCGCCATCCTGGGGAGAGAGGGGGGCGGTTATGGGACATCACTGGCTGCCACATGGTCCCCCTCCTTCCACCTTGAACCCCCCAAAACAAACCATCACCCCCCCAGATTCTAAGCAAAGGCAGGGAGCTGGCATGGGGGACAGACTGGGGAACCCCCTTAGCACCTTCCCAGATGAAAACTCCAGTAGGATTAGGCAGACACCAAGCACCTGCCTGCTCCAAGACCACAAAACACAGGTGAGTGCACTAGGACACTATTTGGAAAAGGAGGAAGCTGAAATTTGGGGAAAATCCCCAAGTCTTCCAAGCTCTGGAAGTATTTCTCCCACCCAGGAAGGGATTAGAGGTGGATGGGACACTGCCATGGGAGAGGGCGAGCACAGCAGCACACTGAACCCCACAGCAGTCCCAGCTGAATCCCCCTAAAATATGCCTCCAAAGCCAAGTGAAGTGCCTGTGACACCCAGGAGCAGCTCAACAGGAACACCAGGAACCAGCAGGGCTGGGAGTTATATGGAGACACTTGAAGGTGTTGGGGAAATTCATTCTAAATCCATCTTTGGGTAATGGGAAACAGCTGCAAGGGAGCAGCAAGAGGATGATCCCAGTAGAGCGGCCCAGCATCACCAGGCATCACCACCCTGGCAAATCCCACTACAGGGACACGAGGGTAAGCATCTATAGCATCCTGATGGGATGTATGGGAGAGGGTCCCCCAGGAGCTCTGGCTCCAAGATAAACCAGGCCATGGCAAGGATTCCAGGAGAAACTAGAGTGATGCCTCCAGCAAAGTGCATCCCCAGAAGCTTTGGGGGTGGCAGGATCTGGGGATGATGAGTTTTTCTCCTCTTCCTCCTCCCACTTGCTGCCCCAGGTTTCAAACACACTCTGAGCTCCCCATAGGCAGGTGGGCAGCACCCAGAGAAAGGGAATCCTGCTCCCACCAGAATGTAACTTCCCAGCAGCTACCCCAGGCTGAAGAAGCTGTGGGATGGACCATGCCCATTTTGGGAGGAAACCAAGGCAGGGAGGAAGGAACCACCTGCCCTTGCGCTACGGAGCAGCCTGGCACAGGACGAGGTGTGTTCCAGGGTATCAAGGAATGGGAGCAGTTTCTCATGGCAGACCTCAATGCCACAGACTGTCCCGGACACCACCCAGGTATCAGTTCTGGGAATTCCCCTTCCCAGTCTTGAACCACTCCAGGTCACCTCCCAGCTGCCCAAACACCAAATTTTAGGGTTTTGAAGTGATAGCAGGTCCAGATCCCAGTGGCACAGTGGGGAGGCAAAGTCCCACTCCGTGCCACAGAACAGCAATTCACCGGGGATGTTCAATGCACCTTCCCATGCACAGACGCAGCCGCTGCCAGCTACTTTGTGTAATTATATATGCACCCACAGGCCGCCCACAGTGTGCATTTACCCACTGGCTACGTGTGTGTGTGTGTATATATACACACATATATAAGATCTCTTGGGATGATGGGCACAGGAGGAGGGATGCCAGTGCCAGCATGAGGGGCTGGACACCGGGAACCAGGGACACAAGCAGAGCTGGCAGCAGGGAATCCCTTGTACAGAGACAGGCAGGGAGCATGAGCTCAGGCAGGAGGGCTCTGAGCCCCCTAAGCATGACCAAGCACCCCGCACCAATCCCCCACCCGAGAGCAGTCGTGGGAAAACAGGAAACTGGAGCTATGATTAGAAAAGGGTTTTTTGGAGCTGATTCCCCATCTCAGCAGGTGCCCCGTGACCTGTGTCCTTCTCATCCGTCCATCTGTCCATCGTTCTCCCTGTCCCGACAGCACGCCGGGCTCCAGTGGAGCCGGCAGCAGCACCCAGACGGATCAAAGCCACCGGCGTGGCCCCCAAACCATCACCAGGACACGGCACCAACCCCTACACCAGTCCCAGGATCCTTCCTGCAAAGCTGGAGCAGACTGGAAAGGCACAAAGGGTATTTTGGGGAGAAAAGCACAATATCACGTGTTTCCCCACCCCCACCTGAGGAGGGCTTACTAAAGAAATGAAAATTACTTGCAAAACCACCACACTCGGAGCTGGATGAACAAGAGGGAAGAAATGGTCGGCGTTGCCAAAATAATTATAAAAATCCCTGTTCCTGTCCCGATTTAATGTTACAAATTGTGCAGTGTTTCGTCGGGAGCGGCGTCCCCTTCTCTGGGGCTGGGAAACGGAGTGGGAGGGGGAAGAAGGCAGATGGAAAAAAAAGTATATATATAAAAACTCCCTTTTTCTCTATTCTCAGCTAACTATGAAAAATGGAAGCTGACATGCAGCAAAGGTGGATAAAAAAGAAAATCCATTAAAATGGAAATTATGAAGGGTAGGGAATGCTGCGGCACGTCTCCCCCCAGCTCTGCAGGGCACGGGGGGGTGGTAGGGCTCTCTGTGCCCCCCCAGTTTTTTGGCTGGGCAGGGGGTAACATCTCTTGGGTAGCATCTCCAGTGGCATGGGGTCCTGTGGTCCAAACCATGGGTGGGAAGAGCCCCTGACATCCTCCACAGGCACCAGATTTGGCTGCTGAGGGGTTGTCGAAGGTTATCCCCAGGGACAAGGTGGGTGCCCAAAGCATGGTGGAGACCCAAGCAGCCCAGCCAGAGGAGAGGGATGTGGGAAGAGCAAGCAGGAAGATGCACAGAGCCCCAGAACCATGGGCTGAAACCCAAATTCCCCAGAACAGCACAGTACCCGGCATCACCGCTCAGCCGGGCCAAGGGGGCAAGCAGCAGCACCCTAAAAAGAGACCAAAAGCCTCCTGGCCTCCGCACCCACGGGGAGGGAAGAGCGGGAGAAGCTGGCAAGCCAGGGCTGGGGGTGGCGAGGGGAGAGCGGGGGCGGTGGCAGCGAGGGGGCGGCGGTGCCGGGGCCGTCGGGGTCGGCGGTGGTTGGTACTCACAGGGTGGCCTCTGGAGCCAGGTGGGCGCAGCTGCCTGGGGAGACGTGTCGCTGAGGCTCCAGATTGATGGGAGGTAGATGATGGCACGGGTGGGCACGAGCTCACTAGAGCCTTCCAACTTCCTACCCAACTGCCGCTAAGTCAAGCTACAGTTCTCTAGGGAACGCCTCTACCTTGGCAGCCCTCTCTGTCTCGCCTTCGCTGAAATAAAAAGAAACAAGAGATTTCTTTTCACGCCACTGCCGAGAGAAAAGGGGCAGCTCCCAGGGACCGGTGAGCGACCACCAACCTGGTACAGCCTGAAAGTGGGGGGTCTGGGAGGTGAGGGGAGGGATGTGGGGTGATCAGAGCAGCCTTTGGTAGCTAAACGTGTCCTTGACCAAGCAAGACACCGAGTTTGGTGTCCCCAAGTATCCCAGCAAGAGCATCAGGGCACAGGTCCCACCCCCATGCCAAGCGGCGAGCGCAGGAAAGCTGGCGGCGGCCAGAGACGGCGCACAGGGGAGAACCAAGCCGGGGGATGGATGGACCCTGCACGCTCCCCACCCAAATCCCAGCACGTCCTTCCCAACACAGGCCAGACTAGGAATGGTCCCTGGGTCAGGGAACCCAGCTCTGCCTTCCACCATGCCTCAGTTTCCCCCCAAAAACACAAGGCCATGGCCCCTGTCCCCTCTTAAGAACAAGTCTCCCTAGGGTTCACCTGGAGCAGGAGGAGTTTTGGAGGGAAAGCAAGTGCCCATCCACAAAACCTGCGTTCCAAAGCCACCAGGGTAGGAACCAGCATCTAGCACCATCCTCAGGGAACGCACATCCCTCCCTGCCCAGACTGTCCTTATCCAGGAAGGATTCACCCCAAGGCGAAGGGGGCAGAAGGCAGGCATGGCTGCGAAGCAGGAACGCCGGGCGAGCCCCCTGTGGCTCGGGGAGGGGGTGGCCTGCACGCCACAAGAATTCACCCAAGATGGAACCAATTAAACCCCCGGCTTCCGCCCCCCGAAGGGCCCTGGGCTGGGGCTTCTCCTTCTGCATTTCCAGCAAAACCAACCCAAAAGGAGCCCCAGCCTGGACCGAGGGTCCCTGTGCCGGAAAAGGGGTGCACAGGGCAGGCTGAGGAACCAAGCACCAGTGGCAAGCGGGAGGGGAGGCAAAGCCACACTGGAGACCCCCACACGGTGCCCAACTCGGGGCTGGAGGAGGGGGGGCCAGGGTGGCAACACTCCCAAAAGATGGGGGCCAAGGCAGTGTGACCCCAAATCCACAGTTTTGGTCCAGTGACCCAGCAGAGGGGACACGGGGACAGCCTGCAGGGAGACCCAGAGCCCGTGGGGTGACACACCAGACACAGGGCACACATGCCCCACAAAACACACCACTCCCCAGCCTGAGGGGGGTCCTGCTCCCCCAGACCTCAAATGCACCCACCCCCCACAGCAAAAGAGACCAGCCAGGCACCCTGCAAGGCAAAGCCAGCACCGCAAATCAGCCCGGGGCAAATGCCCACCCCCAGCAGCACGGGGGGGTCGTCACTCCTGGGTGACAGCACGCAGGGAAACCGAGGCACAGGCAGGGGATCACCCTGAGGAGGGAGTGAGAGCACCAAATCCAACATGCACTTGTCCTGACATCGCGCCCAACGACCAAAAATCCACATTTTTAAGGGAAAAAGCAGAAGGTGGGGGGGTTGAGGGTGAACGTTATTATTTTATGCATATAAAGGCACATTACTTAAAAGGGAAATATCAAGGGGTCACACATACACCGAGAGCAGGGTCCCCCCCCTGCAGAGGGGGTAGGCAAGGAGCCCCTCACACCCCCAAAATACCCCCAAAAAATACCATGCCCCCGCTTATACAGACATATATATATATACACATATAATACCTGGATTCTGGTGTGCATATATATATTATTTCCATAAGCACACATATAATCACATGCATGCACACCGTTGCATTGGATGCTATTTTAAGCTGTAAATGTACAAAAGCAGGGTTTTTTTTCCTCCCTGTGATCCCCTCGATCCAGCCATCATGCCCACCTCTGCGAGTACTGGCGTTGCTTCCCCTTATCCGCGTCCATCTCCAGCTCTAGCTGAGACCGGGTGCTGCACGTGGGGCGTTTTTCTACGGGGGGACAAGGAGGAGGACAACTTCACACACCCCGAACCCCCCGCCAGCCCCCGGCGCGCGAGATCCCACAGCGGAGGAACAAAAGCGAAGCGGCTCCGACCTACCCGACCCGTGGGAACGTGGGGTTTTGCCTGAAAATAGAGAGAAAACAACAAAAAAAAAAAAAAAAAAAAAAAAGGAAAATAAAAACAGAAAACAAAAAAAATAAAAAATAGTGGGTTTTTTTTTATAGCCCCGCTCACCCCCAAGCTGTTGGGAAAGCTGAGGGATGGAGAGCTGGCTGGAAAACTGGGGGTGAAATCCATCCCCTCGCCCTGGACCCTCCGCCTCTCGGCAAAGCGCACGCCGTGAGGGACTTAAAAAACTTTTTTACCTCTCTGCTAAAATATCACTTTATAATCTCAAAGGCCTCGGGCTCGAAGCCGCTTTCACCTGCTCCATCCTCCCCAGGTTAAAAAACCCGGCTGCTATCCGAAGGACCGCAGGCCTGGGGGGGAAAAATAACCCAACAAGGAGCATCCTCCAACCTTGAAGGGAGAAAAAGAAATCAAAATCATCAAATTCATCATTCCTGGGTTCAAATCCATCACTGTGGCCACGCCGGCTCTAAGCTCCCCCCCCCAGGCCCCCCGACGTGGCCAGGAGATTATGGATGTATAAATAGTATATGGCTAAATATATGTTGGAGAGGGACAGACAGACCTCTGGGACACAGCCACAGAAATTTGGGTCCCTCGCTAAAGCTGCCGCATTCCTGCCAAAAACGCCATGAAAAAAATATCTCCCCCCTCCATTAGACCTTCCAGCCAGCGAGACCACTTTTCTAGACAAAACCAGTTAATGCAGAAAACAGCGAAGAAAAGGAGGAAAAGAGGAAGGAGAAAAGGAATTAAAATGGTGAAAATTATAATAATGGTGATTATGATGATGGTAATGATAATATTCAGCCCCTGCGCTGCTTCTGCCACCTCCTGTAAGCAAAAAAAGTCAGAAAAAAAAGCCAAGAATGCATTAAAAAAGCAACCCCCCCCCCAAACATGCAACATCCAGAAAAATAGGTACGTTCAGCTGCAATTAACTTTTCCATTAGACCATCCAGAGGGAAAGAAAAAGGGAAAGTCTTGGTAAATGGGTATTTTCCTCGATGTCCCCCCCCCTTTTCCCCCCTTTTTTCCTTCTTCTTCCTGCTTGGAGGGGGGGGGGGGGTGGTGGAATAATGATGATAATAATGAAAAAAAGAGGTGGAAAAAGGCGAAGTTTGGTTAAGTGAAGTTGAAATCCTCAACCTGGGAGGGGATGGGGAAGGGGGGGTGGCCCGGCTGGGTGCTCCCCCCACCCCCCCTCCATCCGCCGCCTCTCCCACATTCTCAGACGTTTTTATTAAAATTCGCAGACAAAAGGCAAACAAAAATGGCAGCCCCGGCTTATTTTTAAAACGCTAGGACGGGGACGCCATGTTCTGCAGGGCTGAGGGGAGGGGGAAGAGGGGTGAGGGGGAAAAAAGGAGGGAAATTTTTTAAAAATATTGATTTAGATGAAAAATGAATAAAAAGCAGCGCGGGGAGGGGGGGGGGAAGCCGCCGCCACCGCCCGCCCAGGGACGGGCTGGGCTGAGCTGGGCTGGGGCGCCCCGGCCCGAAGGGCTCCCCGGGGCCCGCAGCCCCCCGAAAGCGCCGCAGCCCCAGGAGAGCTCCGCGAAGCTCCGCAGCCCCGGGAGGGGTCCCCGGTGTCCGCAGCCCCGCAAGCCCTCTTGGCTCCCCAGAGCTCGTCTGCTCCCCAAACCCCCTCAGCTCCCCACAGCCCCGGCAGGGCTCCCCAAAGCTCCGCAGCCCCTGGTTCCCTCAGGCCCGGGAGGATGCCTCAGTGTCCACAGCCCCCCAAACCTCCTCAGCTCTATCGGGGCTCCCCGGTTCCCTCAGCCTCCAAAACCTCCTCAGCCCGCCAGGCCCCTCGGCCCCGGCCGGGCTCCCCAAAGCTCCGCAGCCCCCCGAGCCCCCTCAGCCCTGTCAGGGCTCCCCGGTTCCCTCAGGCCCCCAAATCTCCTCAGCCCTCTGGTTCCCTCAGCTGCCTCAACTCTCCTCACCCCCCAGATCCCCTCGGTTCACAGCCCGCCCCACTCCCGCAGCTTCACCAGCCCACCCAAATTTCTGCAACCCTCAAATCTGCTCAGCCCACTCAAATCTCAGCCCACTTCGTTCACCTCAGTATCCCCAAAATCTCCACAGACACCCATTTACCCTCAGCCCGCCGCTTCTCCTCAGCCCACCCAAAGTTCCTCCATGCCCTGGATCTCCTCAGCTCTCCTCTGACCCTGCCAAGTCTCAGATCCCTCAACTGCATGGTTCCCTCACTGCCTCCAGGACTTCTCAGTGTCCTCACCTCCCCACATATCCTCAGAATCCCCCAAAATCTCCTCAAAGCCGCCAAATCTCCTCAGCCCCCAATTCCTCTTAGCCCACCCAAAGATCAAGTGCCCAGGTCCCCCTAGACCCTCAGTTTCACTCAGACCCCCCAAATCTCAGACACCCCCCAGATCTCCTCAGACCCCCAGTTCCACTCAGATCCCCCCAAATCTTCTCAGATCCTCCAGATCCCTTCAGTTCCCTCCATTCTCCTCAGCCTCCTCCAGTCCCCCAAATCTCCTCACGCCCCCAGTTTCCTCAGCACCTCCAGGATTCCTCAATGTCCCCACCTCCCCATATCTCCTCAGAACACCCCAAAATTTCCTCAGGCCCCAAAAATCTCCTCAGATCCCTCAAAATCTCCTCAGACCCCCAGTTCCCTCAACTTCCTCCAGGTCTCCTCCTCTTCCCTAAAACTCTTCCACCCGATTCCCCTCAGCCCCTCCAAAAGCTCCTCATGCTCCCAATTCCTCTCAGCCCCCCACAAGCTGTCGCCCCTCCATTTCCCAGGGGTCTCATCTGATCTCAGGGTCCCCCCAGCTCCTCTGTGGGTCACTTGCAGCCCCCCAAATCCACAGACACTGCATGCAGGAGAAGGAAGAGTGGG